AATGTCGTGCATGTAGCACTGTCCGTAAAGGGGCATAGACAGTGCTAGGCTAAGACCTGACGTGACAGCCACCAAGCTCCCTGCACCCGCCACGCCCACGCAGCTTCAAACTACTTACCGGCCCAAATCTCTGCCTTATGGAGAGTCGAGCTGCTGTTGCATGGGCCCTACAAGCATACACGGCACGCGGCTTGTGGCAGAGGAAGGAGTACACCGATGCAGCATAAATCGCTTGCTAATGCGCGGAAGGTGCTTAAGAAAGGACACGGAAACCCACAACCCCCGGGCCACGGTAACGCAGGGGCCCGGGGGGTTAAGGCCTCAGACCTCACCGCGATAACAGATTCCTTGGGGGCGACCTTCGTCTTGAAGCAGTACAAGTTGGTCCACGGGTCGCGACCTGGCTCTTGTGTCGCCGGTGTGGGAACCACGTAGAAGGGCGTAGCGTACTTCCGGTTATCGCACCTGTGCGCGAAGAGAAGACATAAATCGTTTAATCCAATAACAGAATGCCTGTCAAACTCCAAGGCAGTCAGGGTACAGTATAGCGTCGCTCACTCCGAGCAGTGCATGCCATGGTTTCTGAGAAGTCCTGTGTACGTATACGGCATACGTACTTGCAAGGCGGGAAGGTGACATTCACGGTGTCCTTGCAGTCCGTTTTTTCCGTAATCACTTTCAGGCAGTCATCCGTCTCACTCCGCAAGAGGAAGCTGAGCCCAGAGTTCACTGCATTGCACTGGCCGACCAGGCTGACCAACCATAACGGGCTCTGGAGGGCGGCCCAGGGCTCCAGCTTCCTGGCTTCCTCCTCGGAAACGAACGAACCGCAGACGCTGACTTTGGTAGGCTGGCAGCGGGTAGGATCCACTGTAAAGTTGACTACCATGGGCGGAAGGCCCATGAATGCTATCTGGCTGACGAAGTCGGATGCGATCTGAGCCTGAACAGCCTGGCATTTGTCGCTGTCGATTGTGAAGAAGCTGAACGGGGCGCTGGATACCTCCACTTCTAAGTCGAAGCATGTGCTACATGGAGGGACATCAGGGGGAGACGGAGGCGAGGGCGAAGGAGGGGAAGGCGACGGAGGCGAGGGCGACGGAGGCGAGGGGGAAGGAGGCGAGGGGGAAGGAGGCGAGGGAGATGGAGGCGAGGGAGATGGAGGCGAGGGGGAAGGAGGCGAGGGGGAAGGAGGCGAGGGGAAGGA